CCCCCCCCCCCCCCAATCCTCCTCCTTAGCTCTGCCCCTCCCGGACATAATCTGTTTAGGATTGATAATTAAGTCGAATTATGCAATTCGAGTTTAACTCGTGTTTTAAACAAACATAACTTAAAACAATTTTTTAAGCTTGAGCTCACAAAACTTGGTCCGTTTAAATGTGAAATAATTGAGTTATTCAGACTCGATTCGGCTCAGATTTAACTCTTTTTTAGATGAGCCGAATTTGAACAATGTTTTAGAGTCGTTTAAAAAATTAAACTCGATAAACTCAGCTCGTAAAAATTGATTCAATTATTAGTCCTAAATTTATTGCCTTAATTCACCACAATCATTAAATTACTTTCGAATCTGAACAAATACTAGAATCTGTTGTCAATTAATTATTAAGTGAAAAAATTATATGAGTAACTTACATCCGAGCAGTATTTTTCAGATAACAAACACGTGGACCGCTTAATCCCAACATCCACCACAAAAGGGTCAACCCCTATGAAAGGGAACATAAAAATATGTTCCATTCATCACCGAATCAAATATTCCTTTTTAGCAGACAAGAATTGACATCAAATAAAAACCATATCGGAATCTAATCATTCTGAATCCTATTTGATTCCAACCACTTTTGGATCAAGCATAGTATATTTATCCTCGTACTATTTCACCACTGCACATAACAAAATTGGATTACAATTGTGAATAAAGAAACCCCATGCTAAGTAGTGAAAAATCATCGGTCCAACCACCACCACGGGCTTAGTTGGGTGGGTGGTCAATCCCCCCACCTTCATCGATCAGCTGTGTGTCGACAAGGGTCGTCCTTGAGTTCGTCCTTCTTAGTCATTTTGGTCTTTGTTAATACCCTTCCCCTGGGGAATATGCTAGATCTGTCGCGGTCTGAATGCCTTACAGGCTAAACCATTTTCACCAATATTAAGATACTTTGCTTGCTTCAATGGTAACAAAAGACCAAAAAATGACCGTTATAATCATAATTTTAATCACAATTGGTCATTTTAAGCCGCCTTGTTGGAGACCCCAGCAATGTGGGAGAACATGGTGTCGGCGAATGAATTGGAGACGATGAGATGGATTGTGGTGATGATGGTGATGAAACAGACGGTGGAGATGGTGTTGATGAGAGATCCGATGATTGTGATTGTAATGGTGATGATGAGGAGGAGAGATCCAATGACTCTCGCGACTTTCTCTTGTTAATCCTTCTTCTATCTTCACTCTTCATTCCGTCTTCTCCAAACATGTAATTCTTCAAACGTTCAACATCTGATAATTTTACAGGCTTCACTATAAAATCCTCTGCACCTTCTTCCAAACACCTGCCCCCCCCCAAAAAAATTTAAAAATAAAAATTAATAACAATTGAATTGCTACTTGTATCAGGAATGCCATAACTATTTGTATGTTTATGGATTTTTTTTTTTAAGAAAAAGGGGAAATAGTTTTTGATAAATTGAGATTAGTCCTGGAAGAACACCAGAAGTACTTATAACATGATTGACCTCTGGCTCAAGAGCTTCCTGAATTCAAGCTTTGATCTCTGTTTATCCTTTAGAATGATAATTCTTCTTTGTAAAAATTCTATCAGTGAACCATTTTCAACAAAAGTAATTTGGGTAAAAGTACATAATAAGCTCACCTGTCAATTCGTGCCAAAACATTTTCGGATGACATGATCACAACTGGTATTTCCCTAAAAGTAGTTGATCCCTGTTCACATATCAAATTTGAAATATATTGAGTAAAATTAAAAAAAAAATATCTCCATTAATTCTAAATCCATTCACAATGTTATAATAAATTAAGAATAAAAAAAAAAAAAAGAAGTAAAAATGAACCTTGATCTTCTTGAGCAACTCATAACCAGTCATTCCAGGCATACAGTAATCTGTGATTATTAGATCCACCTTCAAACCCTATAATCAATCCATCAATCAATCAATCAATCAATCAATCCCATTTTCAAGTATATTATTCGACTAATTAACACCAGAAAGATCCTCCTCTGTTGAAAAACCATTACATACGGAATTTCAAAATTTCATTTCCACAATCACATATATAATTCACTTACATCAAAACCAACGGAGCTCGTTTCTTCATCCAACCCTAAAAACTGTAGAGCTCTCCTCCCACTATCCACCGCTGTCACTGTAAAATTCAAAAAATTTCCAAAAATTCAATAACTGAATTTGAATATATACACACACACACACGATATTTTCACAGAGAGAGAGAGAGAGAGAGAGAGAGAGAGAGAGAGCTACATGTTCTATACCTTTACAGGAGGTGATTTTAAGTAATCGTTCAATTACTTTGCGATCAACGAGACTATCATCAACAGCGAGAACATGAACTTCTTGAGAATCAAACGACGGTAATACATCGTCGAATTCTTCAATCTTCTCGGACCTCTTTCGCCTTGAAAACACACCATTTCTTGCCATCTCTCCCTCTCAAAAACCTCTCGACGACAAAATTCTAAACAGAAGAATGTTAAAAAAAGACAGAGCTTTCTCTCTCCGTTCTGTATGTTGAACCTTCGAAGCTTATGAATTCTTATGGGCAGATATTTAAATATATGAAAATTGTAGTGGGGGGAGAGGGTCAGTGTCAATGTCTTTATCGGTGTATAAAAGAACAATGAAATCAAATCTGGGAAAATCTGCTTTATAATATTTATAGGAAATACGCTGAGATTCTCATATCAACTTTGGTGCGATCTGACAGCTTTCCATATGCAACGCTGTCTCATGTCTGTGGCCTTAGACTTACTCAAAATTTTCGTATATTTCGGTATTTTTTTATTGTATTTTATGGTGAAAAAATATTATTTAAATTTAATTTAGGACTAAATATTCGGTGTAACCATGACACCATTACGTCACTAATATTTACATGATGTTATTGTTCAATAAAAAATTAAAAAAGAAAAAGATAGTGGATTCCACTTTTTTATGTGTGAGGTTATTATATTACATAGTGGTTATTAAAATTTGTGAAATTCACTTATTTATTTGTTTGTATATAAATAAAAGGTTATAGTATTAAACTTTAAGGGATAGTTTAAGTGGTAACAAGAACAAGTTATAAATTTAAACGTTCTGAATTTGAATCTTAGTAATTTCTTGTGGTTAGGCCACGAAAGATTTATATTTTATGAATTTCCCAATTTCAACAAAAATGGATTTGTTATATGAATTTTTCAGTTTCAATAAGGATGGTTTGTTTTTGATAGGATCAAGGAGGGGACTAGTCAAAGTGTACACAAATTGGTCTGAAACACCCCTGACCATTTAATCAAAAAAAAANCAGAGAGAGAGAGAGAGAGAGAGAGAGAGAGAGAGAGCTACATGTTCTATACCTTTACAGGAGGTGATTTTAAGTAATCGTTCAATTACTTTGCGATCAACGAGACTATCATCAACAGCGAGAACATGAACTTCTTGAGAATCAAACGACGGTAATACATCGTCGAATTCTTCAATCTTCTCGGACCTCTTTCGCCTTGAAAACACACCATTTCTTGCCATCTCTCCCTCTCAAAAACCTCTCGACGACAAAATTCTAAACAGAAGAATGTTAAAAAAAGACAGAGCTTTCTCTCTCCGTTCTGTATGTTGAACCTTCGAAGCTTATGAATTCTTATGGGCAGATATTTAAATATATGAAAATTGTAGTGGGGGGAGAGGGTCAGTGTCAATGTCTTTATCGGTGTATAAAAGAACAATGAAATCAAATCTGGGAAAATCTGCTTTATAATATTTATAGGAAATACGCTGAGATTCTCATATCAACTTTGGTGCGATCTGACAGCTTTCCATATGCAACGCTGTCTCATGTCTGTGGCCTTAGACTTACTCAAAATTTTCGTATATTTCGGTATTTTTTTATTGTATTTTATGGTGAAAAAATATTATTTAAATTTAATTTAGGACTAAATATTCGGTGTAACCATGACACCATTACGTCACTAATATTTACATGATGTTATTGTTCAATAAAAAATTAAAAAAGAAAAAGATAGTGGATTCCACTTTTTTATGTGTGAGGTTATTATATTACATAGTGGTTATTAAAATTTGTGAAATTCACTTATTTATTTGTTTGTATATAAATAAAAGGTTATAGTATTAAACTTTAAGGGATAGTTTAAGTGGTAACAAGAACAAGTTATAAATTTAAACGTTCTGAATTTGAATCTTAGTAATTTCTTGTGGTTAGGCCACGAAAGATTTATATTTTATGAATTTCCCAATTTCAACAAAAATGGATTTGTTATATGAATTTTTCAGTTTCAATAAGGATGGTTTGTTTTTGATAGGATCAAGGAGGGGACTAGTCAAAGTGTACACAAATTGGTCTGAAACACCCCTGACCATTTAATCAAAAAAAAAGTAATTATAATATAGAGTTTAACCGTTACATTAAAAATTTTCTCATAATCTATGAACTTAATTAATTATAGTTGTTAGATTAAAAATGGGTTTTACCTAATTTTAAAACTTATAATTAATTTAATAAATTAAGTTCTACTAAGGTTTTTTTTTCTTTTTATTACAGGGTGTTCAGATTTGTATCGACTACTCTTTCAAATTCAGCGACTATCCATCGTGGTTTAAATTGATCTATAACATGTTCTCAACTGAATAAAGGTGATTAATCCTTAGAGAATGTAAGAAATAATTAAATCTAAAATCTCTAAATTACCAAAATATAACTCAACCAACCCTAAAAAGATTATTCTGCTTAGATTTTTAAATTAACGTCTCTATATAAAATTGCTCTCGTTATTTATTTATTTTTAATGGTGTTTGTTGACTAGAGGCAATTTGAAAATGGAGCCACACGGTTTACGAACCGGCGGCATTAAAAAAGAGAGGGGGAAAACGAGTGACATTTATAACATATTAACTTTAAGAACTGGTATAGGATTGGAAAAAAGTATCCTTCATTATTATTTCTTTAGAGATATATTTTAATCAAACTTAAATTATGATAAATAATCATTAAATTCAAAAGAATAATTAACGTAAATTTAATTATGTTGTAGCAAAAAAAAATCATCGATTTATTATATACAGTGAATTTAATTTGCCAACAAAATAAAACAAGATAATAATAACATCACTCGACAATAATAAATAATAATAATAATAACGGTGAATTTAATTTGCCAAAAGAAAACACGACAGGAGAGAGAAATAGGAAAGATTCGGAAGTGTCAAGGAAATCTTTAGCGGGGGCCACATAGACACGATCCTTTATTTTATGTTGGACTTTTCGCAAACGTCGTGAATTTTAAAATTTCAGACAAATAAATGATATCAAATCTATTGAGATCAGTTGGAATTTGATTTCCAATACCAACGCTGATTCCCTCCCTCCCGCTCACTCGCCATTTCTTTAGTGCTTAGGCAAAGTTAACGTCGCCAGAAATTTGGGTTCAGATTCTCTCGTGATTATCTTAATAATCTATGCGGGAATTATTTGTTTTAATTAGATTAAAAAAAAAATTAGTTGATATATTCGTAAATTAGTTCGAATATACTTGACTGTTAAATAAAAAAAAAAGAAATCTGCATACCGACAAACACAAAACACTTCCACCGCAATTCATTTTAATTTTCCACAATTTTAAAAGTTTATCTCTTTAATTTTTATCCAGCTCTAACAGAACATATAAAACTCCAAAATAGTTAAAATTTAGTTAATTAAAAACAAAAATCATATTCCAACATAATATGTTCAAATACTTTAAAATAACTTTTTATAACAATAATACTATAAATATAGAACATCATTGTAACTTCTTGTATAAATACTTTATAATTTTTTTACTCTATTCTTGTATTTTCCCACTTCTCTTGTTTATTCTCTGTCTTTCTCTTCGACAGTCTTAACAAAAGTATAAAATATATGAAATAATATTTAAAAATATTTAAAATATAAAAAATATATTAGAGTGTATTAAAAAAATGAGTAGTTAAAATACAAAATCTTATTAGAGATGCTCTAAACCCACCTCGACTAATCCTTTTTCTATTCTTATCAAAGGCATAGTTGCACAGACGACTATTTACACCATAATTAAAAAATTTATGAGAGATAAATTTCTCATAACCTTAAAAGAGTTAATAAATTTTAAACTCGAAACATCAACATTTATGGGTTGCCACTATCTCCATTAGACTAGTGTTTGGGGTTAAGCACTAGTTATGTCTTTGGGTGCCGACTGCCGACTGCCGAAGAAGTTCATAGCCCAAACGAAGACTTCAATATGCAATTGGCCAACTACAACAATTGTATGACTAATTTGACGGTCTTTAATGTATGTAAAAAAGCAGCTACAGTACATACCAAGGGTATTTAAAAAGAAATAGCAATCACACTGTAGATGATTTTCCCCTCAGATCTGGCATCTACTTTTTCAAAATTCAATTTGATATGGGGCACTTTTTCTTCTTATTATTTATACTATAAAGATTACAAAAGCTTTGGTACTTTTCTTCTTTACCAAACAACGTACTCCATTACCTTCAATCTTGTCATACCAGATCATCTCTTCTTTGGGGGGTGGGATTTGCATTTTGAAAGCAAAAGATTATGATATTAGAATACTATTGTAAGGACAACTTCTTTTCATCACGGACAATTGAGCATATAAACTAATTCATCGCCATTAGCTCTGGCAATCGTGCTAGATGAGTCGGGGTCATATTAGATTTTGACGGGTTTGTATTAATATATTTTGAGTAGGATTCATTTATTACACGGGGTTACATGACCCCACCCATGTAGCCCGTTATATAGACACATGTTTTTAGAACCTTGTCAAATTCACACACGCTAAATATATTAACTCATCACCGTATTCATCGATTTTCACTTGCTCTCAATTCAACCAACAGGATTCAATAGTAAGCATAATTTTAGAAAAAAAAAATAACATTGGAGCAAATTCCTATCCACCACATATTCACAAACCAAAAACATGAACCAAAGTCCACCTTCAAACATTTTTTAATTTTTTCTTTTGGACTTTATATACCAATTATTAAATGGGTTGGGGGCGGTAAAGCGGTTAATTAGATACTTCACCCGCACATGATTGTTTATCAATCAAATCTATTAAGATTAAATCGCAGGTCGTAAAATTCATATCCATTCATATTGAAAAAACAGGTCATTTTCATTTTTCGAGGCCCAATGATTACCATTAAGATTACCAAAAAAAAACTTGGCAAAGTCACAATAAGACCGAGGTCCATGGATAAATTTCCCAACCAAAAAAAAACAATGTAGAATCGACATTGTTAAACCCATCAACGAAATTTAGGTGACAGTAACAACTGATATTTTTTTAAAGGCAACATCGACACAGCCTCTCAGCTATGCATGGTGGAAAAGAAAGATACAAGAAAGAGAATATAGGAACGAAAGAAGGATGAGATACAGGTGGAGAAGAGGAATAGAATAGATAGAATAAAGTAGAGAAAAGAAGAATTAAAAAACAGTAATTGAAGGTAGTGAGAGAAGAGAGAAAGGGTTGAATTGAGGACAGATACAAAAATTTAAATAAGATGTAGAAGAAAGATGAAATGAGAAAAAAGTGATATAGAAGAAATAGGAGAAGGAGATAGAAATCTAAATAACAGATAGAAAAAAGAATGACAAAAGAAGGAAATAGTGGGATAAAAGAGAGAGGAGAGAAATTTTTAAACAATCCCCATTGCCTAGAGGCACCATATAACCTAAAAAATTGTAAATCAATAAGAAACTACTATTTTTAAAAAATTCGATAGGATTTCCTCTAAAAACATGAACACTCAACGATTTTAACTTGGGTATAAAACTTATTTAAATGAATTAGTAATTATTACAAACCTTTATTTAAAGAAACATAATTCGATCCAATTATTAACTCACAATCATGCTATAATTCTAGAGATAGACCCGTGCAATTTCGCGGACAATAACATTTCTATTCATATGTAAATAAATAATTCATAACCCTATAATTAATAAGTTATATATTAGAGTAACAACTGTAATTATAATCAACTATTAATTCCTAAGTATGATGTGGTGACAGGTGTGCCATTTTCATAAAATAATAAGCGTGAATTATTTAGTAAATAACATTAGCAAAATATGTGAAATTCAAATTCAATCAATCTTTTTGTGATAGATATTTTTTTAATCAATCATTTATGAAAAACAAAATTTTTTTATAGTTGTAACAAATATAAAAATTAAAAAGGATAATTTTTAGTAGTGCTCACCCGGTTAAAAGCCATAGGGTTTGAGGTGGTGTATATATATGGCTGAGGGGGGTGAATGATGCATGGAGAATCTGCCGATGAGATTTGGCGTGAAAACATGGACACCATTAAGGAAAATGGAAAGATTTGGGAATCTCCTTGTGGGATAACAGAGGGGGCGTGGAGAGAGAAAATGAGTCAATTTGGGTATATTAGATAGCATGAAACATGCACACTGGTAAGGAAGGTTTTGGGCGGAAAAAAAAAATTTAAGGATCAATTAAGTTCATCAGATGAATAATTCTGAAGTGATTTGAACTGCGAAAAGATCCAAATGAGTTAAAGATTCAAAACTCTTTGTATTGACTTCTCGGGTGTGTTTGGGTAGGAGATTAAAGTGGGTTAACACCTATATGGATAGACTAATAAGACAATGAGTCACAAAATTCTTGTTTGGAAAGTCATTTTTGAGGTAGGATACCAATTCCGGGTCAAGCCTTGATCCGATTACTACAGTAACACTTAACCCTCCTATACCGGCTACACAGCCCACCCCCTAGGGTTACAAACCCAGGCGAGAGGATAACCCAACACAGACATATTTGCCCCTCCTCTCTTCTCCACACACTCGGCCCTCTCTCTTCTCCTGTCAACCAGAGCGCAGAGCTCGTCCAAGCCCAGTTGCACAGAGGTGAGGAAGAACCACCAGCGGTAGTGGCAGGTCCTGCCAGTGTTCAATCTGTAGAACATCGTGGGTTGGGTGTTTGTGGGGGCGGGTTATTCATTTAGTAGTTTGTAATTAATTAAGCTAAGTTACCATCAGTTGTGTCATTTGTATAACATCGTGGGCAGCAGGGCAATGACCAAACACGCATGAAACATGTTTGCTCAGTCGGGGTGTGTGTGTGAAAGAGAGAGAGAGAGAGAGATGAGGAGGAAGAGTGGTTGCCTCATGTTTTATTGTATTTTTGGTCTACTGATTTTTTACGTGGACTTGGTCATTCCATTGCAGGCAAAGCTGCTGATTTTTTTCCTTGGATTTAGTCTGCTGATTTTTTTTTTTTGCAGGATCAGTGTTTTGGTTGCTTTATCGCATCGTTTTAAGGCAAGATTGTTTGCCTTTTTCCCATTATAATCAATTTTTAAAAAATAAAATAAAGTGTTGATTTATTTGGAAAAAAAATACCAAAAGCAAAAAACAAAAATATTTATTCAATTTTCCTTATTTTTATATGTTTTTATGTATATGTGGAAGATGTATAATTTTATTAGGCTTGGATGGATTAACCAAACATAGGATGAGATTTGTTTAGATTGGAATGGATAGAGTCATGGGTAGAATGATAAATTACTACAAAATTATTTGTGTAATCTATGGGGTCTAGGTCTACTGAATTATACATTTGTTTCCCAAACAAAAGTTAGAATTGAATATAACCTTGGGTTAGGGTTTTAAAGTGGATGAGTGGGTTTGACTTAGATGGGTTAGATGGGTTAGGATATTAAAAAAGAAATCCTCTCCATTCCAACCCTGTTTCCCAAACACACCCCTAATGCTTAGTGTATTTAATTGGACATCTTCATCATGGGCCGAGATAGATTTGTTTTGGGCTTTAAATGAGGTTTGGTTTCTACAAACTTTCCTCTTCTCCCGACCCAAACAACTCAAAACTAAGGGTGAATTGCAATCTACACCCTCAATATTTACCACTGACTTCTATTTGGTCACTCAACAATTGAACAACCAAATCCTCAAACTTCAAAATTAATTTCAATCAACTCCCTCTATCAAAATTCATTAGTAATTGTGACAAAAAATATCAGGTGAGCATTATTTGCCTTAATCAAATACATAATTTTGGCCAAATAAATATAAATATAAGTCAAATCTATAAAGTTGTGTTAATACATTAATTGAAGTACTTAAATCTATATTTAAATGAGTTAAAAAATGTAAATTTAATACATAAACTCTAATTTTAGAGTCAACTTGTTTAAAATTAATCTCATAATTGCATCAGATTATGCTTATGTAACTATTTCCTATTAGAATTATCAACAAATTCGAATTATGAGGTTGGTTAGAATATCTAAATAATAGTCTTGAATTTAGAGATTTAGGGTTATGATGTGATCTCTAAGGTATAAGAGACAAAAAATGCAACTCACAAAAGAGATACCCTAACTTGAGAAGGACACTCCCTATTTATAGGCTCAGAATATGGGTAATCATGGTCAACAAGAAACTCAAAGTTAAAATTGAAGGACTTAATTATTATAATTGATAATTTAAAGGCCAAATAAAAATCAGATGTAAACTTTGAGGGCATAAAATATAATTTACCCCAAAACTAATGGTATGCTAATTGTTCACCCACCTGGTAAACGGGTGGAGCTCCTCTGCTGTTGCGGTTCTAACAGCAGATTTTGCTGTTAAGTGGGACGGCGCCGTTTTGGCACCAATCTGCCCCAGCAAAAAGACACAAACGAACGACGTCGTTCATTTTGGGACCAATCTGCTCCAAACGGCGTCATTTGCTCGCCATCTCTTAGGTTAAAACACAAGCCAAACGAAACCCCTGAAAATTGTAGTTTGTTGCCTTCTCCGGCCAAACGAAATCCCAGCAGTCGTCTTCCTCGTTGTGATGTCGTTTGCTCCAACCGTTGGTTGCTGTCTTCTTCGCTGGAACAGATTGATCCAGCAAAGGATCTCCACCCCAGATTGTATTTGTGCCCTTTTTTCCCGAAGCTGCGATATTGCACCACGAAACTGATTGTATGAAGTGCAGATTGGGGGTTTTCTGCTGCGATTTCTGCTGTCTGGGAAGCTTCGCAGCTGTTTTGGGTTTTGTATGAAGTGCAGGTTGGGGGTTATGTATGAACTGTGTTGTAATTCTTTGTTTCAATCTATAAATTTTTTTTTTTTTAAAAAATATATATAACCTAAACCTTTGTCATGAGTGATTAAAAAAAAAAAAAATTTCAAATGCCAAAGAGTGTCTGCTACTTCCCAGATGGACGAGGACTCCAGCTAGATTTCAACATTGCCTAGTCTCGTTTGTATCTTCTTGCTGGAGTAGATTGGTGCCAAAACGGTGCCGTTCGTTTGTGTCTTTTTGCTGGAACAGATTGGTGCCAAAACGGCGCCGTCCCACTTAACAGCAAGATCTGCTGTTAGACCCCCAACAGCAGAGGAGCTCCACCCCCTGGTAAACTCTCAACTGGAAAGATATGGAGTGCGCTGGAAAAGGAAGTAGAACTCGGTGTACCGGGCCGGCGATCAAACGCTGTGGCCGCTGCCAAGCTGTTGGTTACTGCTCCGTCTCTCACCAGGTCTCACTTGTGAATATAGAATATATATATATATATGTGTGTGTGTGTGTGTTAAATTCGTATACAACCCTAAATTTCAGCTATTTTGTAATTGCTGTGAAATTTTCATCATTGTTTTTTTGATTCGTCCACATTTTGTGTTCAGATTTCACACTGGAGTATTCATAAAGGAGAGTGTGAAAGGTTAGAACAGCATATGAAGGAAGCCGATGTCTTGAATGATTTCCCTTTTACATTTTCTCAAGAAGCTACCGTTCAGGTAGTTGATACTGATAGCAAGAATCAAAATTTCGTTTTGGTACAATTGTTTGATAGAAACGTTTCAAAATCATAATAGAAATGACTAAGAAAATTGAGAATTGATTTCCAAAAATATTCTATTTCGAAACATTCTGAAATGGAATACCTCGAAGCATTAGAATCTCGATTTCATCATTAATTCATTTATGTGTCCTTGAAACATAAATGTTTCAAACGTTTTGGCTATTTTAAAACAAAAAATTGATCCTAAGTTACATTTATTGTCTACAATTTTGGAGTTTTTATTTAATTTGCTTGATGTTTTTATTAAGGTTCATTGTTGACAGGTGTGTGAGAAACTGGAGACTCGGTGTTCGTTTTTGATCAAACGAGGAATTCACCGTGTGGGAATGTGGATGTGCGAATGCAATTGTGGGACATCTCTTGTTTCTTTAGATCATCCAAGGTATCTAATTCACATATCTGTTGGCTTAATGTGTGAACTCAATTTATTCTCTGCCATTTTATATAGGAGGGGTTGGTGCAGTGGGAAAAAATGTTTGAACTACCAAACAGTAACCTCCTTTTGTTGTTTTTAGCTTATATTCATAAGTGATAGGTTATATGTGAAGTGTATTCTTTTTTGGTAATTCTTTTAGCAGTCCAAAAAGTTTATGGTAGGATAGGAATGATGTAGGTATGTTGAATTCAATCCTTAGAGTTGGAAAAATTTCAAAGATTTTTGTCTTAACAGAGCTAACCAACAATAGGTTATATCTATTGCAGGGGTCTCCCATGTTCAGGCAGTTTTAAACAGAATATTACATACAATCTTGATCTGTTTTACGAGTACAGACTACCATTTTTAAATGCAACAATAAATATTATCCAGTAAGATAGTCCTTGACATTATAGGAAGTATTAGAGGGAGGACAATGAAGTGGAATTCTAGTATTTTTTCCCGGTTACTTGTTCGTGCACTTAAAATTACAATCAGATTGATGTGAACAACAACAAATAGGTAATACATTTATGCAGATATAGGATGGTTTATCAGTCCCGAATCCGATGAAGTAATGCATTGCATTTAATCCTCCTATTTTATTTTCTGGGTAGGTTGGTGGATGGTTGGTGTCTTTCAAGTATGTTGTGCCCATGTAAAGGTACATCTTTTGTGTTTAACCTTATTTCATTCTTTCGTTTGTCTCTTTGACTAATGCTTCATTGTCCAGAGTTCACTTCCTATAAACATGAACATGCAGGACCTTTGTCTCCAATTCCAGAGCAATTAAATAGTTGGAAGGAGTACTACGAATGGAGGTGCATTCCACTACATTCTCCTGTTGCTTTGCTTCTTCACTGGGTAGGTTATGTGTAATGTGTCCCAAAAACAAGGTCAGAGTCGGCTTTTGCATGACCAAGCTAATGCACCCAACCACTGTTTGCTATCACTACCGTATTTATTAAGTTACTTTCCATATATGCTAGGTAAGAAGTATGTACGATGTATAGACAGCTAAATAGTTTAGCTTCATGTGTAACAGTTTCTCTAGGGATGGCCTAGGCTAGCAGTTCGTGGAATGAAGACCATGGAAGTGGCACAATTTCTTAAATTTGTTAGGTCTAGTGCATCTCCAAAGTGTCAATGCAAAAGTTTGTGTATAATTGTACATGTACATGTACATCCTGATATATATTAAGTCATAAATATTTCATGCATTTGTCAACGAACATAAGTGATGGTGTAGTGATATGTGCTTATCATCATTGATCTTTTGTTTATGGGTTTCATTCTCCTGACCAGCATATGTATGTATTTATATGCAACCTGCACACAAATTCAGCAACTGGTGCATGAATGGTGAGTGCTGCGTCAAAAGAGAATAAGGAAGAGCGAGTTTGCTCACCAAAAAAGTTAAATTGGCCTTTGGATTGGACAGATGGCCTTGTCAATGTGTTGATTTGTCTTGAATTTGATCTGTCGTGTACAGTTTGCGAATCCAAGGAGAGTTCATAGCCCAAAGTCACGAGTGTTAAAAGTCAAGAATCTTCTATGTGATGAATGTTTTAGTTTCATGCAATTGCTTCTGAATTGGAGATTGTTGTTTTTCTTGTCAAGCAAGTAGAGGACGTAACTGCTGTTTTATATTCAATTTTTACTTCCAGCCTCTTACAATATATCAGGCCATTCAGCTTGCTGCTCTGCGAAGTTTGATTCCTGAAACCAGTAATGAACTGTTCATACACTACCTAGGTATCTTGTCTTTCCACTCTTCTAAAGCTGGAACCATTTCATTTTTGGCCTTTATTGTCTTCTTAATATGAGTAATGGATTAATGAGAGCTTAATGTACTTGTGGTTTCCAAGCCCATGCATGATATCACCTGAGGAATGAAATTCAAATTTGCAAGAGACATGCGATTTATCTTTATGAAAAGCCAGTGGATCAGTTCTGGTGTTGACTTCCAACTTAACAAGTTTGACTGGGCATGACATTGGTGTTGTACTTACCCCAAAAAAACAAACGTTGGTGTTGTGGGGTATGGAAATTTGAGATACATATTAGTTAGAAAAGCAATGCTGGTTTTGTTTTTTCCTCAGAGAGTACAGTTCCCAAATATTCATGAAAGCACGAATGGTTCACTCAAGTTGTGTGACAAAATAACTGTTCACATTTAGCACAATAGTTTGATATTTGCTGCTGTATTCAAGTTTCTCATTCTATGAATTGTCGTCAAACTGAAGTTCACTTTTGCTTCATTGATGATTTCTAAAAGGGCCTGATAAAGAGCTTCTTCAACTTGCTGCCTTTGGGGAGCTTCATGCACTTTTTCCTGGAGTAAAAGTGCATATGGAGCTTGTTGGACCTGCGATCCCAGAGTATAGGTCAGTTGCAGACTTGATAATGGATTTATCTTCCACTGTTGAGTGCAAGTCAATGAATGAACTCAGGTTGAAAGTCAACCCAAGCAGAACCCTGATTGAAGAGCAATTAATTTGTTACTTGACATGTGAGAATCTGGTTAATATGTTCAATTCCAATCTGGGCTCAGTTCCATTCAAACTTTTGTGCCCTTCTAGTTTGCACAGGTTTAGCTGGGTTATGACTTATGAGTGACTTTCTTCACCATGATTGCCTTCTTTTTGCCCTATGTTATTTACTCAATCTGTCCTATGAAAGAGGTCAAAAGCAAACTATCTGAGGCATAATAACCTGAAAATGTTCTGTCCCCATGAGCTGATCTTTTACCTGATGCTGTGACCCTGGGCCTTTTGACCATTGTTTAGAGTGCAATCTTCTTGGGTGACCTTGAATTTTAACTCTGCAAAAAAAAAAAAGGTCGGCTCTGCGACTCCAAGGGCATTTCATCAGCAGACTTCAAGTTGAGCCTTGCTTGAGTTACAGTATGCTGCCATGGCATTATATAGGGCCTATTATCTTTGCAGTGCATCTTTCATCCACTTATTTCTTTTTCATGACCTCTTAGCTTTGAAATAATATGAGGCTGGTCAGGGAGTAAGGGGGAAAAAGGAAAACATCCTTTATGCAACATGCACACATGATGGATCATTGTCAGTTACATGTTACTAAATATGTTGTCCATAAGTTAGTTAGTCACTCTTGTTATTTGGCATTTGATTACTAGGGATGGCGACACAATGGATCTCCATAGTTATGCTCATTGCTTTGAGGCAGACTGCATTTGCAAATCGTCAGATAAGAATGTCAGATCCAGTTTATTGATTGGTAAATATTCAGCAGTCACATTACGGCTTCGTACAGGTTATTACCATGACCGTTACAAAGAGATAGCAAAGGTGTCCACCCATAGCCTGTCATGTAAAGAGGTTTACATAGTCCTCTTGATGCTTTTCACTTGGATCTCTTCTCATGAGATCTGTTCCATCGACAGGATTCCTTTCCTCATTTAATCTTTGCTCCAAATGCTGGTATTGCTGCTTACCGAAGCTGGTTACCAACTATTGTATGTCTGATGCCCTGATCTCTCTCCCTCTGTGTGCGTGTGTATGGAATTTCAATTCATTCTTGTGTATGCATGTGTGCACATACTGTTTCTAAGAAGTCCACTAATAAGTTTTTACTTGCTAAAGTTATTTTGCTTTTCAGGAGTTAATAAAGGAGATGAATGTCCCGGCGGTTTTTTCCGATTATTGCGAAGAAGCTTGCCATCTGGCAACTGCTTGCATAAGCACCATAACTGGATGTCCTCCTACCATTCCTGTTTGTTCCTATTTCCTTTGAGTGTTCCAGCATTGATAAGCATTAACTTCATTATATATGGGACTGAAGTTTCTTTCCTGATTTGCAGATTCAGCTAAATCCATTCAGGCAGCCTCTGGTAGTGGAAGACAGTGCTCTATTTCTTCCTTGCTACTCAAATTGCTTTCTTTTTGGGATGTGAAATGGCAGACCAATGAGTGGGATAAGGTGGGTCCATCATTATTTTTTCCAATCCCTCTTTCCTAATACCTAAAACAAACACACCTGCAAGAAAGAATTGAGGACTATTCGGTGCAAGGCCAGTAGCTGGATTAAGGTTAATAGACCGACCATTCTTTATCAAAGGCTCAGCAAGAGACGTCATTACGTACGTCGGCCTTGTATAGTTTGTCTGTATATTATGAGTTTTATGTTGTCCTAGCAAGTTCAGTCAATGGGATGGTTGTAGTTTTCAAAATCACTTTTTAGCAGTGGAAATCATCCGATTTTTATTTTTATTGTATGTATATATTGTTTAGAAGAAAGAGAAAGAAATAATGAATCTAGATTTGTAAGAAAATACTTTTAAGTGATTTTAATTATTTAAAGATTACCAGCCCTGTATGCATAAGGAATCCAATTATATGCAAGTGGGGTCTTAATTGAATTTACGGTAAATGATATATTATTCCTACAATAATCACATTGCATGGGTTAGATACTTCTACAGCGAGTACTGATCGAATTTATCATAGATAACATGTTATGTTAAATAATTTGAGAAGAAATTTAATGAAACAAATTCAAAATTCAAAGTTCCTCACACTAGTGAGATTCAGTTCTAGATGGTATTAAAAAATTATAAATTCTACAAGGCCAATTATCGTATTGAAAATTTATATTTTTGGTACTCTATATATATATATATATATATATTTTTTTTTTCAATCAATGAAAGGCATAATAATTTTAATTTATTGTTTTTATGATCAATAATTATAATTTATTTAATCAAAAATTAATCATCACAAATTTTTTTTTTTTTTTTTTTTTTTTTTTTTTTTTTTTATAATTTTTTGGTACAGCAGCTTTATCCAAATTCTTAGCCATCTGGTCAGACATTTTTTTTTTTTGGCTACTAAAAAAGAGGAGCGGGGAGAATGGAGAGCGTTAAGTAGGGCCGTTAGTTGAACGAGTCTAAGTCGAGTTCAAGCCAAACTTGAAAAACTTGTTTCTTAATTGAGATTTAAAAATTGTTTAAATTCGGCTCGTCAACAAGCCGAGCCTGAACGAGCCGAACTCGAGTCGAGTCCGAGTATTTGCACATAAACGAGTCGAGCTTTTCGAGGTTGAGCTGAGCTTGTAGGGTTTGTTTTCTAAACGAGTCTAAAAACTTGTTCAAGTTTGAGCTCGTTTAAAAAACAAACTAAGCTTGAATAAACCGAACTCAAGCCAAACTTAAATAGCTCAGTTTAATTAACAACCCTGGCGTTAAGAGACTATCCACCTCATATAGGCTTCACTAGTGTGATCATGAGATCCCTAAGCACGCCTATTATATTTTTCGAGAGCGAACTTAGCTAAATAAACAAAGTGATCGGAACCTCCAATTCAAGATAAAAAACTTTGACCATGCTCTATTGAACCACCGGACTCGGTAGTTGGATGGACTTTATTTTGCTAATATTGTGATATATAATTTTTTAATTGACGACGAAGTTCAAATCTGTTACGTTAAAGATTTAATAGTGCAACGGTGACGATTAAGCTAACCACCATGCTTGGGGCTTGTTTGGCAGGTCCTTTGGGAAGGGTTTGAATTGGGTTTAATATTTGGTCAGCAGCAGGCTGAGATTGAAATTCTAAATTGAATTTTCAATCTAAACATAAAATTTAGAGATCCTTTAAACTATTTTCTTTAAACCCATCGAGCTCCATACGCTTTTATCAAACAGCCCCTTGGTGTGAATCCCTGATCAGTCGGCGACTCGGCGAAAATATTGAGTCAGCCATATGTCCAACCGTCCAAGTACCTGCTCCCTGAATTTTTGTCTACAATATTAATTTAGTCATTAAATTTTTAATTATTCTAATTTAATTTTTAAATTATCAATTTTGTTGCAATAAAATTATTTCATCCATTTTCACCATTAGATTACCGCTGAAATAAAACCGATTAGGCTAATTTTTAGTTGATCTATAGATAAAAATTGATGAAAATATTTAATTTAGATAAAATTAATAATAGATAGATTAAATTTAAATAATTAAAAATTAAGGACGAAATTAAAATCAAAAACAAAAGTAAGAATCAACTATGACGAAAGTTAGAATCAACTATGACTTTTATCCTAAATAGTTTCGCCTGTCTTCCTTGACCAATCACACACCAACGGACACCTGTCTCGGTTAAGAATTTCATGAACCGGATATCCGATCAGATCAACCACGAACCTCCATAAAATTGGCGCAATTGTCAAAGCCAAACCCTAATGCCCCAATGAATCAAACCCACAATCCCAAAATCTAAATTCATTCCAAAAACCTATCAGCAAAGATGCTTTACTGCAATATGTTGTTTCTGAGACTGCTTTTGATTCTAGGTTTAGGGTTAGGGTTTGGATTGGACTTTGGTGATGCGCTGAAAGTGCCCTTTAGGGTTAAGGATGTTCTTCCAGTTCTTCCACGCGAGATTTCGTGGCCTTTGCTTAATAATATCCACAGTGCCGTTGATTTATTGCCGTCGTTTGTCGGAACGTTGACTCCGGACAATGGGTCAATTGAATGGAAAGGCTCTTGCTTTTTCGATAATGAAGCTCGAATTGAGTTCAAGGATACTGGTGATCGGGGTTTGGGTGGTGGCACTATCCATCTCAAGGTTTGCACTTTGACCTTTATACGAATATGTAAGTTTTTAGGTTTCAATTGTACTTTAGCATAAACGGGATTAATTGATTGGGTGATGGTTTAATTGAATGTGTGATAAAGTGGTTGTTTGTTAGTTCTATTTTTTGGTAACTTTAGAAAAGAACAATTTTGGAATTTTATTCGTTATAAGTTGATTGCCTGAATTAGACTTTTTAAAACTGGTTTATAGAGGTAAATAGGATCAATGCGCATGAGTTAGGCAATGGAATGAACGAATACAGCAACACTAAGTTATAGAAAGAAAGAAACAATGCGCATGAGTTAGGTAATGGCTAAGTTAATTGAGTGATCCCCGCTTATGATTTTATTGAAAAGGCGATGAAACATATTGAGCTGATATTTCAAGTATATAGATGAAGCATACTGTGCCTGAATTTGAGATGTAAACTCTGAATCATTTTAGTTGGAGGTATGCCACAAATTCATCAGAGAGAAGTTGCTAATAAGATATAGAGACGTATCTTTTAAGAGGGAGAACCATGTTGCTGACAGACAAATAACTTGAATTTCTGCTGAGGAGCAATGGGCATAACCACGAGATTGAGAAGAGTGAGTGTTTACTGTTTAGTAGAGCTACACTGCTCTTATCTCTCAGCCTATTACCGATTCTTTTTTTATCTAGATCATTCTCTCTTTTTCTCTGTCCAGATTTCTCCATGTTCCTCTGGATTCCTTTCTTTCCTTTTCTGTCCAGAATTCTCTCCTTGCATTGCTGCATTTCTTTGTGCCACTTGGCCTTCTGGTCTGGAGATGTTAGACTGTTAGAGTATTGCTCTTCATGTTCCTCTAGATTTGAAGTTAAATGAATTTAACGACAGAAATTTACTCTTAAACAGTTGTTTAGTTTGTTCAATCTTGTATCTGATATGGAACTTTAGTAATTTAAGAAGATTGACATATATTTTGGTTAATTGATGAATTGGTCATGCTCCAGAACTTAAATAGGTCTGGCTAAGCCTTATGTCAACATATTGGTCTGGGTGTTTGAGGTTCTTGTGAGTCTCCACAATCTCGGGGAAGGAACATTTAACTTCTGCGTAACCCTTTCTATGAGGCATGGACAAATTTTTATTTAATTTTTTTTGAAAATTGTACCATGCTAATTCATCCGAATAGACTTGCATAATGGTTGGTAAAATTTTAGTGCTTTGTGTTGGTAATCTGTATTGTAAATATGCTCATCATCTGAGTTTAAGTGCAACTGTGTTTGCGTAATCTATATACCTAATATATCCTTATTTTCCTAGTATTATGAATGTTTTTCTCTTCCACAGACTTCTTCACCTCACAGCTGGACATGTATGGATTTGTATGTTTTTGCAACACCTTATCGGGTTACCTGGGATTACTATTTCACTGCCCGAGACCATACACTGGACATTGAATCTTGGGAGGAACTTGCAGAGCTGGAATATGTAAAGCTTTTACTCATTCTTTTATCACTTTAATTACCTAGGGTGGTAAACCCATCACTTAAAGTTGGCATTCTGGTTGACCATTGAGCAGGTTAAGCAGCATGGGATCTCTGTATTTCTTATGCCATCAGGAATGATGGGAACTTTGCTTGCCTTAATAGATGTCTTGCCCCTGTTTTCTAACACTGGTTGGGGTCAGAATGCTAACATAGCTTTTCTGAAGAACCACATGGGTGCATCATTTGAAAAACGTCCTCAGCCTTGGCGTGCTATTATAAATCCGGATGATGTTCATTCTGGTGATTTTTTAGCTGTGTCAAAGATACGTGGACGGTGGGGCGGGTTTGAAACTCTGGAGAAGTGGGTCACTGGTGCATTTGCTGGTCATACAGCAGTTTGTTTGAAGGATGAATCTGGTAATCTTTGGGTTGGTGAATCAGGGCATGAGAATGAAAAGGTATGCAATCGAGAATTTATAACTTACAGACTTGTAGGAATACAAACAATCAAAGTGGTGAAATTTATGTTTGCTACCTTGCAAAAAGAAATTTATCTTTTCTGTTCAGTATCTAGCAAGGCCACCTAATTGCCCAATGGATGATACATTTGTAGACCTGTATTGGGTCTATATAATACTTTTTTTCTTCCCTCTGTGCCATATTGGTTTGTTTCACTTCTCTCGTTTATCCAGTTTACTTGCTAGCTGAAAGAAATTATATACTTTTATCCTTGAGAAAAGCCTGTATTTTGGAAACCAAATACATTTGTACTTTAAATGCGCTACCATCTAACACAAACACACCTTGTATACAAAAATGATAATCTTTCCCTGTTTTCTGTCTTTGAACAACTCCCTCTCTCAAACTGTAACAAACACTCATGCATACACACCCAGGAAAAGAAAAAAATTGGGAGTATATTTTGAGCGTCTATTCATTATTCAAGGTAGTTGCACACGTAAAAGTGCTTTTTGATATCTGATGTTCTTTTGATCTCTTAATCTGTCATCATATATTTCAGTGCTGGCACCTAAAAGGCGTAAAGTGGCAGGGAATAATATAGATTGTTCTAACAGGTTATTGGTAATCCATAACTGCAAAATTTGCATACAGTGAAAGATGGAGGATGAGAAAATGGATCTGTTGGGTTGCTTAACTTAATGTCTTTATAAAAAAGAAAAAACTTCATCTTGCGTTGGTGATATGTTAGGGAAAGATAGTTTTAGAAGTTTTCAACTTTTATATGGTTTACAGTCATTAGAGTCCCCAGAAGCTGGATGTCTTGAACAGATAACATGGATTCGGAGCAGAATGCTTGGAGAGTTCTATCCATTTTTTAGTCATATTGGTGTTGAATGTTCGAATACATTTGAAATGATATGATGGTAATTTGAGAGGTTTTTTATATGTTTGGAGTTACAGCCAAATTTTCAACTGTTTAAACATTATATGTTGGAACTGATAAAATGGAATTATGTTATATGTGTTGTCTTGATTGTTTGCAGGGTGAAGAAATTATAGTGGTAATTCCATGGGATGAATGGTGGGAATTGGCACTTAAGGATAACTCTAATCCACAGATAGCATTGCTACCCTTACATCCTGATGTGCGTGCAAACTTTAACTCTACTGCAGCGTGGCAATATGCACGGAGCATGTCAGGCAAGCCGTATGGTTACCATAACATGATTTTTAGTTGGATCGACACCATAGCTGGCAATTATCCACCACCTCTTGATACTCACCTGGTATGCATACCCCTTAGGTTGTCATCTTTATGTACTCTTATGAAAATTGACTCTCCCACCAGATCTGTGCTGCAGAAATATTTGCCTAATTTTGAGAATATTTGAAGTTCCCCCCCACCCCC